TGGAGGAGCATGTCGTACAAAACGAGCACCGAAAAAAGTATTTTTTACGTTTCATTTCAGAGGGAGTCATGCGAATTGATTTGTACACCGCTTGTTCGAGTTTCGAGGAATTATTTGCAGGTATGTGATCGTAGTTTTGATTTGTAACGACATCACGGCGATACCGAGTATGGCCATACTAAGGAGATGGATGAGAGATATTAGTAGAGCACACACAAGAGTCATAGTGAATTACGATGGATTGATGAGTACCTTGGACAGTTGAGGTACTACGATATGTGTCGAGCTTTTTCAAAAGTTGCAGACCTCATGGAAAATGAAGAAAGGTTGACACGTACTTTAATGGATTGGATAAAATCACAAGCATAAGAGTTGAGGATGTCAATATCAAGTATTGAAAGTACTACTCGCTCGTAAAATAATTTAAACTTAGGCTCTACTTGTAATGATTCGCAAAACACTAGTAGAGCTAGCATATTAGATCCTATAGCTTCGAGTCGAAAGGGTGCTCCAAGGAAACTAAAACGGAAAAGCCCATTGGAGTCCTCTTCGATGAGCGCAAAAGTATTTTTATATTTACCCTCTTAATATATTGGGAATTTGAAGCCATATAATGATTTTTATTTATGACCATGCAGGCCACTTCCACGTCAAACAAGGGGAAGAAGTCAAGAGCTGGGCTTCACAGTACATAAGAGGAAGCAACAAACATTCAGGCATCTCAACTACCACAGTGTACTATGTCGTTGCCATGATAATATTCACAACACTTATTGGTGAATACATTATGTTAATTCGTCCACTTATTTGATGGTGTTAAATGTGATGTTATTTCATGTAGGGTTATAATGCCAGTCAGGCTTTACCACCTACGAATGTTATAAGAAATGCTCAAGGTAAATATATTAATCAGGTTCCTTAGGTATTTATGTATGACTATATCCATTTAACCATATTCTAAACTTTATCTTCTAGCCTAGGTCATGTCATGCCATACTACTATCAATATATACCAAATCAAGGCAACATTGGCTTGTGTTCCTTGACAGGAAGGTATATTTGATTTCTACCCACTCTTTCTGTTTTATTTTTTAACCTTATAAATAGAAGTTGTTGTAAGTTTTCGACAATTTTCTATTTCAGACATGACTGCCATAATAGTTAGTTTGTGAGCTGTTATATTCAAGTTGTTTGCCATTATGATTGAAGATGTGTTTTGTTGTATGTAGTATTTGTGTAACAATTTCACCTTTTTGTATTTATGTGTTTTGAACATTTCTGTTTCATGGTACCTTTTGGGGGGAAGAAATAATTGTGAAAAAATTGAGTCCTTATTTCCAGAAGCATTTGTTTAGTTGTTTAAAGTTATTGCTGAATATGTAACTTATTGTGTTTGAATTATTGATCGAGCTTTTTAGCATGAATTGATCACTTTGATGATGAAGCTATCCTAGATCAGGATGAGATGGAGGAGATTGAGGACGATGATGGACCATCCATTTTTTATTATTATTATTTTTTTGCACCAACATTTTCAGCTATCTCATGGACCATCAGCCTCTCATGATGAGATATCGATGATGTAATAAAAATTGAAAATTATGCTCTATCATGGTGTTTCTATCACATGAAGTTTTTTGTCCATCCAGCTTGTGAGATAGATTATTGTAAACTGTAACAAACTAGTATGCTTTGTCTACATTTTTTGCATTAGTTGGCTAACATTTATTTTTGATAAAAAAGAGCTTTTTCTATTACACAATATGTTAGATAAAAACGTGTTAAGACTTGTGAACTTAGTTCAAATGTACACGTATTTGTATTTTATTGTTGGACTATTCAAATGTACACACTCTGCCATATTATTTACTTGCTTTACGGTAAACAATTTTTATTATCATTATTGCATTGACAAGGATTTTCAACATACAGTAAATTGAAGTAGTTGCGACAAGTCTAAAGTCTAAACACAATAAGAAGATACTTTAGGTCTTTTAATTCTTTTAATCTTCAATCCTCGAAAAATCCTTCATATATACATAAATATTTGGGCTTATCTTAACTTGAAGAATCGAGAGTTGCCTTGTCTACTATACTTACCTGGAGCCTAGTTTAGTATAGGAAACTTTCATTTTGGGGGACATAACAAATGTTATCAACTACAAAACACAAGCCTTTTTTGTTAAATAATTCGACCACGATGTTTGCAAACAAAAACGAAAACAAGTATATAATAAAGTTCTAGAAACCATAACATATATTACAACAAACTTAATAACAATCATATGTCAAACGATCAAACAATTTTGACAAGATTAATCCTACATCTTATAGCCTACAACGACCAAACCGTTCGTACGTTACGATAATACATACAACAAATTCAAATCAGCCGTTTAAGTCGAACCCTTTCCTTTTCCATCACACTTCGCAATTCCCTTTCCCTTGCAGAAACTCAGGTGTATTGATATGTCCATGTCTCGTTTCTCGCTAGTTCGAGCTAGATAGTCAAAGAGTCTTGGCAACTCTTCATCTTCCACGTTCAGGGCATAATTCGTCGCTTCATTCGCTGAACTCGACTTCCTGCTTGAAACTTCTTCTTTCACCCGGTCAAAATATCTACAATCATTACTACAAGTGAAGAACAATCACCCTTTGTTACTCGTATCCTGTTCAACCTCAAACATTTTCGATAACCGTGTTTACACGACGGGGCATCGACGTTTTGTTCGGCATTGTCCAAAGTAGTCAATCCCAGCTAAACAATAAAATAAACAAACGTGAATGCATCTGAATTACAAAATCTCATATCAACCACCTAAACCTCATCATCCATGTCAAAAACCATTACCTAATTCGATTGTCGACATTAACCAATCAAAACCAAGACAGGAAAGGCAGAGCTCTATGACTGACATTAACCATTCAAAACCAACAATTCGGCTTATCAAAAAAGGCTTTAAACAATTCGATTCTCTATCTAAATGAAAGCCATACAAAATCATATTACTGATGTCATATTATTAAGGCCGGACACAGAAAAATTCAACACCGAGAAGAAGAAATTTATATGAAGTAAATAACACTACCAAAATCCATGTACAAAATCAAAAAAGAAGAACTACTTACATTATCACCGAAGATGGAACAAAGTGTGGCAGTGAAGGGATTTGCATGTGGCGCCCGGGATGGAAGGTGAGTGTGTCGTGGGGATTGTTCGCAGGTTGATTATTCGTGTAGATGGAGGTAAGTGACTATGATTGAAGGGCAATTGCTAACGTGATATGCTCTTCGTCGACGCCGATCGACAGTGACGATGAGTGCATGTGTGGAAGAGTGATTTGGGATAAATGAAAGACATTTCGTGACAAGGTTTGAGAGAAAATGGAAGAGACTGAATGGGGGAAATGGGAAAGCAAATTTTGTGGGAAATTTCGTGAGTGAATTTCTTATTTTTTATTTTTGTAAACCATGCCACATCGTCAATTTTAAAACCCTTCACCGGTTCTATAGTGGGTTTCTTGTACATATAGCAAAATCGTGTGGGTTTTTTTTTTTTTTTTTAAATCATGCTACATAATCAATTTTGAAACCCTGTATCAATTCTATAGTGAGTTTCCTGTACGCATAGCAAAATCGGTGCATTTTGAATATTGCTATAGGTGATTTGGATTTGAAATTGAACTATGATATACGTACAGATAAAGGCCGTACAGAAGCCTTACAGAAAACACTCAGCTGGAGGTGGGGTGGGACTGGGGTGGGTTTTTTTACAATAAAATAATCATGTGGGGCCCACCTTAAATGTCAGGCTTCTGTGCACTATCTGTGCATTTTTATTCTGTACACTCAGCATTAATTTTTGAAATTTGATTTGTCAATTTTTTAAAGGCTATCTTCCTCCACGTGTATTTTTTGTCTATCATGTCAACTTTAGTGATGATGGAATTTGGTGAGTGATGGATGTAGTACAATGGCCGAAAGTTCAATGACCATTTAAAAGCAATTTAAAGTTTAATAAATAAGAGTATCTCCAAAAAAATCTCTATTTTTAGATACTATATCTTATCATTTGAAGAGCATCTATAAATTTAGAGAGTAAAAATTTGAAGTACTCCAACAAGATTTTTATATTTAACCCTTAATTTTACTACCCCTAAGAAATATTTATTATTTTTCTCTATCTTTTATTTTAAGTACTTTTTTTCTAAATTATTTTATTAAGAAATTGAAACATTTTTAATGAATTTAATTATATAGAGCGTCAAAATCACTCTTTAAATTAAAATATTAATTTAAGGAGTTTGTAATGTATGATTTTAAAAATTGACTCTTTAAAATAGATAGCATATCATGTAACAAAACTTCTACCCCGAGCACACGCAATGGAACCGTAGATAGTCAAGTCCGCGAACTTTTTGGTACATCATATCCATGCATTTACGATTCATGTTACGATATTGATATTCCTGCGGAGTGGAACCATGCAGTACCAGGCACGAGATAAATCTTACAGAGAACAAGGCCTTTTTCGACATTGAGAAATGACAGATGTATCGAAGAGATAGTGTTTCTTCAACTCTCTCAGAATGGAATCAACCCATCCAATAGTATTTAATATCCAAAAAATTGCGGAAACAAGATATTTTCTTTGTGCGTTGATAAAAAAAAAAAAAACATGAATCTACTTCAATCGATATGCCTTTAGGCATGGCCCCTTTTCGGAAGACAGTTGAATCTTTCTTTTTTTATTCCAGTTCAAATACTAGTGATGTTTTTATCCCTCGTGTCTATGTTTTTGCTTTACGAATATGATATTTTTTGGACATTTCTAAGAAAGAGTCTGATATTCTAAGCCTTAACCACCACGTTAAAGTTTAGTGATCATTGAAACATTTTAAAGAGTCTGATATTCTAAGCCCTAACCACCACGTTAAAGTTTAGTGATCATTGAAACATTTTACTCAAGAAGATTTTAAGTTATTTATAAGTTAAAAATATACTTTTCATCTTAACCAAACGAGCACTGTACTCGCAGAGGATAGTGAGTCGGGCAGCTTGAAAATGGACGTCACCGGCCTGAGAGCCGCCGCCACGTCTTCCCTTTATTGGTCCAGAGCTTCTTCCCTCCTCTGCCCATTTTTCAAGCCCAATTCATTTCACTTCCCGCTCTCTCTTTCCTCTCCACGCTTCTCTCGGCTTTGCTCTCTGCGTATGTATTACGTGTACCGATGCTGCGGCATAGTTCTCTCAGCCTTTTAAATTTCAGTTGTTGCACTAACTGCTGTAAAATAATACATTTGAAATTTGGATTGTTTATCTGTATAGACACTTTGAATGAATGAAGTCATTGAATTTTATTTATTTTTCTCTCTTTGAAATTACAGCTGAAAGGGGTAGAATGAATGCATTGCCGAATGGGGTAAGTGAGGTGGTCGCAGAAGAAGATCCTCAGAGCAAATTTTTTCAAGTGGTATTAGTGTCACCCCAGGTATACTTAACCAGTTATCCAAAATTAACTCGATGTATGATTTCACAGTATGCTACCAATTATCATATATGTTTTGCCATTGTGTTAGCCACTGAAATGATAGAAGTTAATGGAAATGTAGATTGTAACAAGCATCTAAATTAATTTTGTTTATTAAGTGGGAGATATTAAACAGGAAGTGAAAAGTCGTTCTCTTTTTAATATTGTTAATGGACTTATTATACAGAATTTCTGATGGATGACTATATAACAGTGAATAAAAGAATGAAATGAGAGCAATCTAGCATTAACCAATGATACAATTGGCATAAGAATCTTTTTATTAGATGTAGATCGAATGAATCTCTGAAGCTTACGTGGTATTCCCCCTTTACACTATCATAGATGTTTCAATGAAGTTTTATATATAGACGTTTTGCGTGTATTGGTTGTACTAGAAGGTGGTAAAAATTTTACATTACATTCTTTATGGTGGCTTGATTTACAACTTCAGTATCTCAAGACTGAATCTTAGTCCCTGTTAATTTCCCATTATTTGCTCATTAAAATGAAAAATATGACCGTTATCATTTACATCAAGTCACTATATTTAACTTTGTATCTCTTGTATGGGGCTCGTAACGACTATATTTTTCATTATCGGTCTTACATTAATGTGGCTCAAACGGGGCCTTAGATTTCTCTTGCCCTTCGCAGATTCCTGGAAACTCTGGATGCATTGCCAGAACTTGTGCTGCGTCATCTGTTGGATTACATTTAGTTGAGGTGAATTTTACCAACCTTCTCGTCGGTTTTGATTATTAGCTGTAGAATTGAAATGAATGATGAATAAGTCAATCTTTTCTTTTGTAGTTAATATTCTCATCTGCTTTAACTTTTCTGCAAAGTTTGATTATTTTAGAGCTTTTTTTCTGCTTCAGCCATTGGGATTTCAGGTTGACGATGCAAAATTAAAGCGGGCTGGACTTGATTACTGGCCGTATCCTTTACAATCACTTTTTCAAGTAGAGAATATACCAAGTGGTTGAGTCTTTACTTTCTAATAAAAGAATTTTACGCTAGATGAGTTTTTCTCCTATATTTCAAAGATTATTCAGCACAAAAAAGTTAGGCATGTAATTATTGTACGTATAAAAAAAATATCACAGTTCATGGTTCATGGATTTTTCAAATGATTAACTCTCTACATTAGATATGTGGTAGTCAAAGTGCACAGCTCGTGGGCAGAGTTTCGGGAATACTTCAGGCAGCAGGTTATCTATTTTTCTTTTTCCCAAAGGATTAGATTAAAGGCCGTTATCCACTTACTGAATGCATAAATACATTCTTCATCACACAGGAAGGAGAAAAGAGGCTTCTAGCATTTACTAAGAGAGGGACAAATATCCACTCGGTAAGCTTTCCATGCTTTTTCTCCTTTTCTGGTTCAGGTTTTGATCCACCTTAATGTTCATAGTTCGTAAACATGAAATGGAATAAAAATATCCTGCCTACTATTAAAGTACAGAAGTTAGTTTAAATATGTCCATCACGTGCAAAAGAAAGTCTTTTCTCCTTGTTACCTAAATACTTCATAATGCGTCGAAGTACTTTTTCCAGTCACCTGACACTTTCATTAGGTATACAACATTCATGTCATATTGTACATTTATCATAAAATCCTAAGAAAGTGTAATGAATATGGAATAAAATACAAATTGGTGTCTAGCTCCTTGTCTTGGTTGCTTTGGGAGTGTATTTCCCACAGCCAAGATCAGGGGTTTAAACTTTAAAGAACAGTTGAGATAGAGGAAGAAGTGAAAGTAGAAAGTAGAGGTATGTTATGATTCCTCCCTTACAAAAAGAATGCTGGGGTTTTCTATAATTATAGTAAATAAAGCTGAAATACTTGCATGAAACAGCTATTTTTATTTGGATACCATTCTATCACAAAAATAAAGAAAAATGGTTCAAAGTATTAGAAGGAATGTTGAATCATCTCATTCTATTAAAAATGATTTGTACAGTGTGGTATAAATAGACAATCATTTAACAGACTAATTACAAGGGCTAATACAAAATTGACATGTACACTAGCTACCCTAATAACTAAATAACTTTCAGTTCAACTGTAACGTGACTACTTCCAGTTGCTTCCATATTTTTTGTTATGCCCCCTCAAGATGGACAGTGAGGATTGATAACCGAAATCTTGGAAATCAATGGAAATAACAAATTGGCAGGTAAAGCTTTAGTGAAAATATCAGCTAGTTGGTGTTGAGTGTGAACGGGGAGAAGTTTGATCAAACCATCAGTGGTTTTGTCTAGGATGAAGTGACAATCGATCTCAATATGCTTGGTTCTCTCATGAAAGATGGAATTGGTAGCAATTTGAGTGGTTGTTTGGTTGTCACAGAATATCAAAGCAGGATTATGAGATGGAACTTGAAGATCAAGAAGCAATTGTTTAATCCAGAGAAGTTTACAGGTGGTTGAAGCTAAGGATCTATATTCAGCTTTTGCTGAGGATTGAGATAAGGTGTTTAGTTTCTTAGCTTTCCAATATATCAAAGAGTCACCGAGGAAGACACGAAACCAGCAATTGATTTCCTGGTATCAGTGCAAGAACCCCAATCTGCATCAGCGAAAGCACAAAGCTGGAAAAGGGATTGAGCTGAAAATAGAAGGCCTTGTCCTGGGGTAGACTTAAGATATTGGAGTAGATGGTGAACAGCATTGAGATGAGGTTGCTTGGGTTGGGTAACAAACTGGCTTAATTTGTGGAAAGCAAAGGTAATATTAGGCCTAGAGATGTTGAGATATAGTAACTGGCCAATCAATCTCCTATGCATAGAGGCATCGGCAAGAAGGTCACCTTCAAAGGATCATAAACGAACCTTTGGATCCATAGGCAAAAGAGCTGGTTTGTAGGCCATGAATCCAGTATCTTCTAAAATCTGAAGCGTATAATGACGTTGAGATAGGAAAATCCCTTTATGAGATCGAGCAATTTCCAGTCCAAGAAAATATTTCAGCTGGCAAAGGTCCTTGAGTTTAAGTTTAAAATGACTATGGAGAAAAATCTTTGAAGAGTCTATGGCTTGACAATTAGAACCCGTTATGATAATATAATCAACGTAAAGCAGTAAAGTTACAAATGAATTCCCAAATCCTTTAGTGAACAAAGAATAATCTGATTTTGACTGATGATAACCATGTGAGGTAAGAGCAGCATAGAATTTTGAAAACTATTCTCTTGAGCCTTGTTTAAGCCCAAAAATGGACTTATGCAGTCTACAAACCAACTTGTTTGAGTTCTGTGTATTACCAGTAGATTGATTGAAGTACCCCAATGGCAAATCCATAAAGATCTCCTTAAATAAGTCACCATTTAGAAAAACATTGTTCACGTCAAGTTAAATGATGTGCCAGTGATTTACAGCTGCAATGGCCAAAAGAATTTTGACTGTGACAATCTTCGCTATTGGAGAAAAAGTTTCAATAAAATCCAACCCTTCTTTCTGAGTGTACCCCTTTGCCACCAAGCGGTCTTTGTATCTATCAATACTTCCATTAGATCTATATTTGATTTTATAGACCCATTTACATCCTATAGAATGTTTCCCTTCAGGTAAGTTAGTCACTGACCAAGTATTATTTTCTTCCATAGCCTTTAATTTTGTGGCCATAGCCTCCTTCCAATGACTATACTTGACTGCCTCATAATAAAATTGAGGTTCAAAATTCGAAGATACATTCAAAAGATAATTGCAATGTCCAGTAGAAAAGGCTTTATATGACAAATACTTATGCAATGGATAGAGAGTGTTGTTTTCAGGTAAGGAAGGATGATTGGACAATAGATTACAATGGAAGTCTCTAAGATATGAAGGAGGTTTGCTGATTCTATTTGTTCTTCTAGGAATGAGTGGTAATGATGAAGTGGGACTAGATTGTAAGGGGGAATTAGAAGACTGATCATCAGTATTGCTGAGCTGATTATCAGTACTATGGATAGGAATGTGATGCATATTATGTGATGCTTTAGGAGTGAATTTAATATCTTGGACAGGCATGGGTAGAACAATGTCTGTAAAGGGATCAACAGAGTTTTGTTTAGGTCGTTCGACACGAGAGAATTGATGAATGACACCTTTGGAGTCAAAGAAATCAACAAGTTTCAGTTTTGGTGCATTGTCAAATCTGAATTTTTTGATCAATTTGTGAAATTGAGTTTCAATTTGTGTGAAGAACTTGGGGATGATGAATTCAGCATCTGATTTTTGTTTCATAAGATATAACCAAGTGAATCGTGTGTTGTCATCTACCGAGGTGAGGAAATATTTGTGGCCTGCATAAGTTGGGATGTGATATGGTCCCCAAGTGTCACAGTGAATTAGATCAAAAGTATTGGTAGACTGATGATTATTTAATGTAAAAGAAAGTCTTCTTTTATTTTGCCAAAGGACAGACATCACATGGGACAGACTTATCAAAGCTACTACAACACAATTGCAATTGATCCTTGAATGTTTCTAATTTCTAGAAAGATAAATGGCCAAGTCTATGGTGCCATATATGTGAGGTTACATTGTTTACTATATCAAGTGTTTTGTGAGCAATACCACTACTATTAACAACTGAAGTATAGGGATTAGCATCCAAAATGTAAAGATCAGCAATCCTTCTACCCTTGCCAACCATCGTCGAACTGGGATCCTGAATGATGTAAGAATCAGTGAGAAATTTTGCAGTTATAGATGAATTCCTGGTTAAAGAACTAATAGACTATAATTTGAACTTGAATTGAGGCACAAATAACATATCATCAAGCATCAGATCTTGGCTGAGCCTCACAGTCCCAATGAAGAGGGATTCTATCATGGTTTGGTAATGTGATGTAGGCATTCTGAATAGGCTTCATTGTATGAAATGTTGATTTTGTAAAACATATATGAGTTGTTGCTCCTGAATCGACCACCCAGCTACTAGGAGAATTGATTTTTAAGTTAAGAGAAATGGAGAAACAGGTACTCGATAAATGACCTCCATTAATAACTCCATCATCAACTTTGGCTGCTGTGAGGTGATTACTCAACATATTCATTAGGTGTTGATATTGTGTAGGACTCAAGGTCTGCACAAATTCTCCTAACTTCCCATGTGTCTATTCTAAACCAGATTCTGACACCTGATTAACAGTAGCAAGCTTAGCATGATTATTTGCAACAGGTTGATTAGGAGACTCTCTTTGTTTGGCCTCATATCCAAGTGGATACTTGTGCTACTTATAGCACTTGTCCACTATAGCCACAATAGGTACAAATTGGTCTTTCCCTTTTTCTGAAATTTAGTGTGAGACTTCCCAGCAACTGGGATTTTAGCTTCATTCTTGACATAGAAGGCCATGAAGTCAGATGTTGCAGCATTTGTATTGACACTTCGTTGATGTTCCTCTTGAGACACAAAAGCAAAATACCTTATTGATAGGAGGGATGGGATCCATTAACAATAATTGGCCTCTCACTTGAGCAAATGAATCGTTTAATCCCATTAAGAATGACATCACATACTCCATATGGTAGTGATCAACTAGCTTCCTGTTGCCACTACATTCACACATTTCCCACGAGAGCAAGCTGTTCTGTAGCTGCTCAATTCTTCTCAGATTGTTTTCAGCTTGGTAAATTAAACTCCTACTGAAGATTACCCCTGATTGAGATTCATCAATTCTCTCCTCAGTTGAAAAATACGCGGGCCATTCTTTTGTTGGTACCTTTCTTTGAGATCAATCCAGATCTCATATGCTGATTCAGCATGTATAATGTTAGCTGATATCTCCTTGAAAACTGAATTTAGAATCCACGAGATCACAATGTTGTTATTGTGGATCTATGGCTTAAGTAAATCAGCGTTGTCTTTTGGCCGAGACAAAGAACCGTCAATGTTACCCAATTTATTTTTGACTGATAAGGCAATCTTCATAGATCGACTCCATGAAGCATAATTTTCTCCGATTAACAGCTGTGACACAAGGATCAGCCCTGGGCTATCGGAGTGGTGTAGATAATAAGGACAGGAATTATCATCAATGGTGAAATTGCTTGTTGCTGATGAATTGCTGGATTGACTTTGGTTAAAAGCCTCAATTGGCATGATAATTCTGCTTGGAATAGAATTCAAAATTTAATAGCAATGAAGAAGAGGAAGAAGTGGTGATATGGCACTTATTGCTCTGATACCATACTAGAAGGATCATCTCATTCCATTCAAAATGATCTGTACAGTGTGGTATAAATAGGCAATCATTTAACAGACTAATTATAAGGGCTAATACAAAATTTACATGTGGACTAGCTACCCTAACAACTAACTAACTTTTAGCTTCAATTGCAACGTGACTACTTCTTCCAGTTGCTTCCATATTTTCTGTAACAGAATAATTAATGTTTTGCCGTGTCCATGTATCGGATTGGATGCTTATTAACCCTAAATTTGGAAACAAGCACACCTGAAACCATTGCTCAAGTTAAACTATCATAGCTATTCCTCTCCTCTTTTAATTCTTTTCGTCTAATTTATAGCGAAACCACCGACATATTGATCAAGGATTTCCTACCATCGGGCTGCTTTAGGTTGATGAAGGCTGTAATTGTTCTTTAACTTCAGGGTGCTCAATGAGGATTTCGTGAAGTTGCTCTGATTTACAGCATTTTTTCCATGTTTAAAGCATATGTTGTCTTGACTTCCCAAAAGCAAAGACAACAAACCCATTTGTGTTTTCCCAAAGGTGTTTATTGCAACTAGATTTTTCACAGAAGCATTGAGGGAAGGATTCCTACAGTTTGTCAAAGATCGAGAGAAGTCTAGTTTTATTAAGGAATGGATTTTACCGTCCTATGCTTGACACAAGTAGAACCTCATATGGACTTGTGGAAATTGCAAGGGGTCAGTAGCTGTAGCTTTGATTCAGTGTCTTATTCCATGACTCTTTCCTTTTTGTATTTTTACAAGGAAAGTGATTAGGTGCCTCAGCTTTCGTCCATTGTGCTCTTAAAAAGGAACCACGCACTGACATGTGCATTCACAGTTACACGTTGTTGATGGTAAAGATTGGATCGACAAATCCTCTCATCTAATTATGCCCCTGTTTGGGCTCCATTAAAAAAAAAATGCATTTTTCTCTCTCATTTTTTCATTCACATTCTCCCATAAAATAAAATAACTTTACACTTAAATTCAAAACTTTTCTTTTCTTTTATTATTATTAGTATTATTTTTTTGATAATTTTTCTTTATTTTTTAACTGCACATTATTTAAAAAAAATATTATTCCAAAGTACATTTTCCCCCAAAATATATTTTTAATGGAACCCAAGCAGGGCTATGATTTCCCACCTCTTAAGGTCTCTGATTACAATGCTCAAATTTGGAGCAAGAGGGATAATAACTATTTGAGAGAAATATTTGAATTGCACGATTTTCTCTTTGAGGAAGGGGATTTTTATAGATTTCCCTCTAAACTTCATGGTAATTTGGTCATTTAGAAAAATGACATATGGCGGCTTCTTACTAGTGAGCTTGTCATTGATTCTGTTGAGTGTTGTGCTTTCTTCATGTGCCCATGTGTATTTTTTATTTACAACCTGTAGTCAGCCTAGATGGGAGAAGATTCATTACATGCTCACGTTTCTCTTGCGTCATTCTGTGCCTCTCTTGTGGTGGGATGAGTTCTCGAATCACATTGCAAGGGTCAAAACACGTATAGCTGTTATCTTGCTGACCTTTATGCCCCAACATTTAACTTGTTGCTTTAACAAGTTTTTTTCTTCCATAATCTAAACTTATTTTGGTTGACTGCTTCATTTCATTACTGGCACATCTCATTATTTAGCCCTTCTGTCTTGGTAGCACTTAGCATATATTTCTTTTCTTCACTCTGGGTTCCCCCCCCCCCCCCCCCCCCCCCCCACTAAAACTTAAACTATACTGTTCCAGGAGCATGACTACACCATCTGCATTCTCACCCCTCTGGATATAAATCAGCAAGATTGCTCAGCTTGCTAACATCATCATCTTGCTGATTCCTCATATTACCAATTCCATGTGGTTTTGGTGGTATCCCGTCCATGGATACCTCCTACCATCAGCTCAAATGAGAATTTTCACTTCTTACCGTAAAGATTTAGCTTTTCAACTTCTTCATCGGATACATTTAGGAACACCTACAAGAATACAGAACTCACAAATTGAGAACAACTACATAATTTCTGATTTCTGATTTTCCTTCTTTTTTTTTTCTTAACTATTTGAAAAAGATGGTGAATATTTACCCCAGAACCTTGCTATTTATATTTTGGAATGATCCTATCTATGCTCTTGAATAAAAAATCAGTATATTCAATCCTTTACTTTTTTTCTGATTGTTCTTTTTATATCTTGCCTCAATATATAAGGATGGAATAATTTACCTGGATTGCTTTTTAAATGGATTTGTCCGCATGTTCCTGGTGCATGCTCTAAAGTAAATTTACCATTTTCCCCTTTTGATTGGGTTATGACTATCAACAATCATATTCAGATTATACAGTCCTTTGTTCCTTAAGTTGTGCAACATTTTCTTTTAACTTTCAATCACGCAAGAAAGAGATCATGCAAAGGCTCATGTAGTAGGGTATCCCTCAGAGAAACTGACGAAAATCTTAGGGTCTCGAGATCTACCTCAAAAGTTTCTTTTCGAAGTTTTTTGTTGGAGGGTGAGACGATTACAAACTGTGATGAATTCTAAGTAATTCAAATATTTTCCACCTAATCTAACAGTCTTAAATAATATGAATTTGCTATAATGGAAGTTTTCTTCATCATGCAGGAATACTCCTACAGGAGAGGAGATTGGCTCGTATTTGGCTCTGAAACTAGTGGCTTACCCCCTGAAGCCCTGCTCGACTGTAACAGTGAACCTTTGGGTGGTGGCACTATTCGGATTCCAATGGTTGAAACATATGTTAGATGTCTGAATTTATCGGTCAGTGTTGGCATCGCTTTATATGAAGCTTCTAGACAGCTAAACTATGAGCAGCTCCAAAATGTGTCGGAATCTCGTATGGACAGTGAAACACCATTAGTAGCTGAAGACATTTTTGCTTAAACTTGCTTATTGACCTTTTCAAACAGATCACCAAATTTGTGCCCAAAAGATCAAATCTTTGATGATTCCATCATCTATGATTGAATTGCAAAAACTTCTTGAGTAGTACTTCAACTTCAAGAAACGAAAGCAAGCTTTCATCTTGAAGTTCAGTCCTGACTCCCTTGTTTTTGCTTCGGACGAGAACCCATGTCAAACCATATTTCTCTTATTTGATTAGATTCATCTATGGATTAGCAACTTGTTGGCCAAAACCATCAGTCACGGAGTGCGATAGGTCACATGAACTAATTGTCCAGCAATAGTATTGTATCCCCTACATAAGATTCCAATATCTTGTTTTTGAATAGTATGATTTTGATTTGCCACTTGTTTGGCATGTAAAATCTCTCATATGTCGGTTGTTAGTCCATATCTGTTAGGCATTCAAGCAAAACCCAATGCATAAAAATACAAACAAAAGAATGTCTCAATTACTATATATTTTGTTTGCTTAACAGAACACAATCGAAGTTTTATTTGGGGGACTCAATCTACACCATGTACCATTTAAATGGCTTGCAGCATAACATAATCAATTTATGGATCAAACTAAGCATTTTAAGGCTGACGTATACAACTTCAGAGGCAGACATCAAACAAAATCAAGTAAATTCTAGCATTGAAGGGACAGATAATCCTGAACAAGCTGAACTGCAATAATAAATAACAAGACAAAATCCATAGAAATCGATGTCTCCAAACATACATCAAATAGTCTAAAGATAAAATCAGAGGTATAGCAAAATTGGGCGTCAGTAAATTTTAAAACAGAAGTTTATTCTTCGTCCTCAATAACTTGGGTGCCCAATCCCTTCAACCCACCATCAGGAATTTCTGCAACGGTTACTAAAGAGTAAAGCTCCTCTTTAGCATCTTCGTCGTCGTTCCTCTTGCGTGCAATGCGGACCCGGATTCTCCTTGGCACGCTACGAATTCCACGGCTCCATATCTGCTTGTTCAACTTGACATCAACTCGAACATCTGTAGTCCCCATGGCCTTCTGGGCGAACTTCCTGATTTCCTTGATGGCTTTTGGAGCCTTCTTCTTGAAGGTGCTGCAGGCAGATCCGGTAGACAACAAATTAAACACAGCATTTTTACCGAAACAATATAATCAAATGTGGAGATATAGCAGAGCATCCATCAAAAGACCAGTAGACGAATGAAAACAAGGTTCCAAATAATGCAGCAACTTCAAACCTTTAGAGATCATAAAGAAACCAATTTCACTTTAATCAACTAGATCTTAAGCCAGATTGTGAAAAAAATATAGATAAATTTAGAAAGCCACCTTTTATGCTGTAGCTATGAGAAGAAAATGACAATCTCTCCTAATTTTAGAGTTTGGACACTTAGGAATTTAGCCAAAAACTGACTCTTTTTTGTAGTTATTACAAGAAGCATCTGTCTAACAAAAAATTCACATATATAATATTTATACTACAACAGAAAGACCTCTCCCATTTATCACAGTATGAAACTCTGAATGAAAGCAGTCATTTCAGGTAGACAGACAGTCACACTAAGATGATATTTCACTTAGCTAACAATTGCAGTGCAATCACAAAACATTAAACCACCACCCACTACACAGATGAAAAATAAGCATGTCTTTGCTTAAATCAGAAAATTGTTCTACAGAATTAAGTTTGGAGCACTGAAAGAAATCCATAGCACAGACTAATTGCATTTTAACCTGCTTTGGACATTAATAGTCCAGTATGAATGGGCAACAGCTTAAATGAATGTTATCAATAAGATTCCTTCAATTTCACACACTATTCTTGATGGTCTCTTTGATAGGTATACATTCATATTAGGTAAACTATATTTCGTTTGCAATCATTTATATTTCCATATGAAATTCGAGATTCATATGTAAATACAATAAAAATAATTCACCTCTCAAAATTTTTCAAACACAGAAGCACAAAGGTAAAAGGGGAGCTGTGAATTTTATAAATAGCCATCGGATTTATGAATTAATGATAACAAAAATAGACACGACTTGATACTAACGAACAACGTAATTGCAAGAAAGCAATCAAACTCAATACCAACAGTTCGACAAAGTAACAATAAACAAACTAATGCAGATCTGAACTGTTAGAAAGCACATGTATATATACAGATATACACACGCAGACATATTCAAGAACATATTTGAATGTATATTCAAAGTGAGAAAAAAATACCATCCATGGAGACGTTTGTGTAGATTAATGGTGTACTCCCTTGAGACAACCTCCTCTTTCCTGGCCTTGCTGCCTTTCTCCACCATCGTTGCTCTTACTCTTCAGCAAATGCACTAATTTTCCTATGAAGAGTTTGAGGTAAATGAGAAAGAGAAAACCCTAATTGTAATATCTTTATATATGGTTGATTTTCCATGAGCTGTGTAAGAGTTTGTTGAGTAGAGCCCAATTATTAGTTTTGTGTAGCCCATTATACTTATGGGTTATAAGAGAATTAAACCTTATCTGGCCCACATTCTATAAAAACTCTTTTTTTTTTTTTAAATTAATTTATTTATTTTTTAATCTCATTTCCAATAACACATTCTCTTAATAAATTAATTTTAAACATAAATTGAAATTTTTTTCCTCTATACTTATTTTACAAAAAATCACTATTACAAAATATATTCTCCTAAAAAACGGGTCTCAAACAATCTTTTAATGTTAGCAATACTAAATTGTGATATATATACAAAATTGTAATGCAATTTTGTATTTATAATGATTTCAACCAATTTTATTTTCTATCGTCTCTCTTTATTTTATTTTATTTTTTTGTAAAATTCAAATAAAGGAATTTAAGGATGGCAACGGTACATGCCAGAATGGGATTAACCTTCCTATCTCTCGCCTCACCCAAGTTTTCAAAAAGATGAGAATTAACGGGGCTTATTTATTTGGGACTTTTTTAGATTTTTAAGGATTTGAAAGGTTTAATGATATTCAATGTAGACTTTTGAAAACTCTTTAAAAGTATTAATATATGCAATGGAGACTCGTAAAAATGTTTAAGAAGTGTTTAGAAGTTTCGTTATATTCAATTAATTTTTTTTTAGAAATCTCTATAAGTAATTTGGTATTCAAAATGTCAAAAAATTTTAGAAGTTTTGATAAAAGTCTCTAGAGTACTAACTTTTAAGCAAAAAGTATAAAAATAAAAATAATGTATCTCATTTACTCCAAAATTTTGAGAAACTTCTACAAAATATTTGTTAAATATGTATTTTTGTCCTTTTAATATCCTCATTCTTCTTCCTTCATACTAGCCTTAGAGCCATTATTAAAAGTTTATTATTTTTCTTCTATTTTTTGTATTTGTTATATTTTCCTTTTTTCTATCTTTTTTTTTTATTATTGTTTTCCTTCATTTTCTACAAAAAAGGATCAAACTGTAATTCAATTTTTTTATATTTTTTTTCTCTTAATCCAATTTCTTATGTAAAAGATTAATTTGTAATTAAATTATAATTAATTTTGGATATAATGATTTTTGAACTTTGTATATTTCTTTCTTTTATCAAAAAATACATGAAATATTATATAAAATATATTTTTTTCTTTTAATTAATTATTTGTCTAATTAAGGTGACTTAAATATCTTTAATTCCCATCTTGTTTTTCTTATTAATTTATTTTTAATATTTAAAAATATAAAAATAAAAAATGAAGTTCTAACATGACCACGTTCCTATCCCCATTCTAATTTTCAACTTAACGTTGGAATCCTAGCCCCATTCCAAATGGGATAGAGCTTGAAGTATGTGGGACGTTTGTTTTCCTGTGTTTTCGGATTAATCTTATGTGATGTAATTAAAAATTGGATTTTTAATAAAAAATTATAAAAAATGAATTCCATGAAATGCAATTGAAATTAAATATTAATTTTGATTTAAAATTTTTAACTACACCAAATAGTGATTAGACAAAGTCTCTTTTGTATGTAATATCTGTAATCTATAATCTATTAAAGTATCACATCAAGGAAGAATCATTTTTTGAACGATTCTAACCTTCCACAATTCAATTATTTCAATAATGATATGTAAAAAATACTATATAATTATTATCGTTTATGAAATTTGTGTTATTAATTTTTAATTAATTAATATTCACATTAATCTTGATTCAATGAATTTTCACTTGATGAATTTTATATCATATGAATCTAGAGTTATTATAGATTAATTTATTCATATTCATGTATCTAAAAAATTTAATGGGGTATTTAAATTAATTTATTAACAATTAATTTTTATATATCAAATGTAATATAAAAAGATTTCTCATTTATAGTATTTCTTCATTACAAAAAATTTGAATCATAAAAATTAAGTTTTGAAAATACAATTTGAATACAATTTTCTTCTCTTAAATTTTTATGCTAAATTTTATTTTCTTTAATTCATTCGATACTTATCAAACCATCCAATAAATTACTATCTTGTATTTAAATAAATATATCATTTAATGTCACGACTGACCTTTTATTTTAGTATACAAATCCCGGAGTTACATGTTTTATTAGTAACGGAACTTACACGTCATTCACGATTTACACATTAAACTTTATAACATTTCCAACTGGTCACTCAACTTTAAAATATTGCACTTCAACACTCACTCTATATGTTTCTTTAATCACTTGAACTTTAAATTTTTTTTTCCAATGGTCCATGAAATTAAAACATTGCACTCTATTACTCATTCACCATATTTCATAAGTCATTGAACTTATATTTTCATCACACTTTACTTGTTGAACTTTAAAATGTTTTCGAGTGGTCATTGAACTTACTCACTGAATCCAATTGTTCAAAAATCGAAAATTTTAAGTATAAAATACAATACACGAAGATGACGCCCCTTTCCTCTTGAGTTAACTTGTGACAACCTTAAATATTATATTTTGTTAGTTTTCAATAATATTATTGACTCTAAATCAAATATGTTACCGCCTATTTCAATTTTTTTCCCTTAATTTGAGTCTACGATTTCAATCAAAATTGTTATGCATTTTCCACAATGTAAATTATGTTGCAAGTGTATGGTATCAAGTTTTGTAATATAAGATAAAGTACGGATAGTCGAACTTACAGAGAATGGAATTAAATTCCACTAAGTACTATAGTTTTTTAGCCTTTATTTTTATCTAGAAGATCAAATTTTAGAATCAAATTTAAAAATGGATGTAATGGTAATTTCGATTAAATCAACGCAACTTGTATGAGAAAGTTGTTAGGGTAAGAAAGTCTAGGGAATTATTTCACCGCACTATCAACGATATTTCACAATTTATAAAACTACATCTATCAATTTCCCTAAGTTTATAAGCAAGAACTCTAAATTAATTCTATTCCATCTCTCGGGTGCCTAATAAAATATATCTATGTATTTTAATTCCAATATCTCTATTTCAAATCAAAATCTAGAAATAATCACGTTCGTGGTTCTTAAGTGGAACTTGCCTCAAAGATTTCATATTTTCGCTTGAAACCTACAAAATCTAGGTTGAATTATTCATAGACCACGCCTAAATTTCCTTCTCTCGAGTGTCAAAATTGAGGGCATCAAATCATTCAATTATTGATCGGATAATTGAAAGCAATTGCAAGAATCAACACAAATAAATTCATGGAAAACTGAAAGAAATACTTATATTAAAATCCAAACATGTCTCAATTTAAGGCTACATTAAACTCTAGATTAGAAATTTAGAACATGATCAATGTAATACACAATCAAATACAATATCCAAAACATGGAGAAGAAAGGAAATAAAAACTGATTCAATGCTAGAATTCTTCTTCTTGTGGTTGCCTCCTTTTTTCTCTTGATTAATTTTCTACTTTTCACCTTTTTTTGGTGTTGAAAAAGTCCCCCTAAATAGTGCCTATAAAATTGTATTTATAGGCTCTTTTTTGTTTCCTTCGACTTGGGCTGCAGCTAAGCTTTCAACAAAGGTAAAAATTTCGAAAACCTTACCTACGGTGCAATGCCTAGGTGCTGGGAATGTGGTACCCGGGCGCTATAGGTTTGGGGCCTATGAGCCAGACCTTTGTTTCTTCTTTGCTCTGTGTGGCGCTTAGGCAGCCACCTTCTGCTGGGAGTGTGACGCTTGGGCAATACCTACACACCTTCTGCCTATTCTTTTCCTTCTTGATTTGGTTAATTTTTTGTCATCTTCTGTGATTAAATCTACGTTTCTTCCAATCCATTCACCTCCATATAACTTTGGCTCCTTTCTATACTTTAAACTCATCTTTTTTACCAAATTGCCTAACCTGTAAAACAACATGAACACCCACATCAAAATGTTCTGAATTTCTCAAAGACAACTAAAATTTCAAGCTTAAGTGGCATTAAAAAAATTAGTGAAACTCACTCATCAAACACCTCCAAACTTAATTATTTGTTAGTCTTCGTGCAAACACAAACAATAAATTAAAATAAACAAACTCAATTGAAAACATGCAATATCTAAAACAAATTTAGTTAGCTAGAGTGCCCTTATGGCTCAGGGATGAGAGCGTTATATCATGTCTATAAATCGCTTCAAAGTTATAGTGCATAAGTTAAATTCATACTCATTCCATGTAAATCGGGTGTGTGAGTGAAGAATTAACTGCATCATTGTACATTCAATAAGACGATCCAATTTCCAACCTTAGAAGTTATGTATATCCTTTTATCGCTCATGGGATTCTTACACCCCAAAGTTGTTTTCTTTTATTCTCTTCCTAGGGGTGTAATCTAAGGTTGCTTTTACTAATCACTACTCCTTACTCTCTCTGGTTTGATTAGAATTTATTGATTGCAGTTTAACAAATGTTAAATGAGGATTCTTCCTAAATTTGATTGCTTCAACCTCCAAGAATCAAACCAAGTTGCTAACCTCTTATTAAAGCTTCTTAAACAAGTGTTTGGAGCTTAATTAAGGCATGTGGTACATCTTCTATTTTATGCACCTGTTTTTATATATTCTTTACCTAATTTTTTTTGTGGATGTCTCTACATTAAGCTTTCTAAATGACCCCTATAGTAAGCCTTAGATTGATGACTCTGAAATTAGATAATTTTAAGACACCATATTTTAAACTCTTATAGGCTTAATTACTTAAGAATAAAGGCTACGAAGAGATATTTCACAATAAGATTCTTACAATTTTTATGACTAGTGCAATGCCCCTTATTAAACACTCATTTTCAAAAAACGACCTCTAATTTAAGGTTTTCATCTCATTGGTTTCAGACGATCGACACAATATAAAAGCACACATGAAATCCACAATTATCTCTAAGTTTCCCTAAAATAGCTCACCCAATTGAATTATCCTAAA